TGCACCACCGGGCTTTCGTGGTGAGGGGGAGTATGCTGGAAAGGTATGTCGACTGCGTAAGTCTCTTTATGGACTGAAACAGTCGCCACGAGCCTGGTTCTCTCGCTTCAGTGATGTAGTCATACGATTGGGGTTCACCAGGTGTCATTCTGATCATACCTGCTTTATTCGACGGAATACTTCTGGACAGTGTGTCATCCTTCTGGTATATGTTGATGATATTATTATTACTGGTGATGATGTTTCTGGGACTGCGCAGGTCAAGATAGACCTTGGGAAGGCCTTCGATGTGAAGGATCTTGGATTTCTGCGATACTTTCTTGGGATTGAGGTTGCCCGTAGAAGCAGAGGTATTGTTCTTTCTCAGAGAAAGTATGTTTTGGATCTTCTTTCAGACACTGGGATGTTGGGGTGCAAACCGGCATCATCACCCATGATTCCAAACCTGAAGCTTACTGCTGAAGGTGAGGAGTTGAAAGATCCGACAGTTTATCAAAGATTGGTAGGTAGACTTATCTACTTAGCCAATACTAGGCCGGACATTTCATTCGCAGTCAGCCGAGTTAGTCAGTTCATGCATAGGCCATGTCAGCCTCATCTTGATGCAGTTTATCATATTCTTCGGTACCTCAAGTCTTGTCCTGGACTTGGGTTGTTTTATGCATCAGGATCTCAGACCGGTTCTCTAGCCTGTTATTCAGATTCAGATTATGGGGGAGCATGTGATGGTCGATCTACTACGGGTTTCTGTGCTTTTCGAGGGACTCATCTTATCTCTTGGAAGAGCAAGAAGCAGGCAGTTGTCTCCCGCTCGTCCGCAGAGGCAGAGTATCGGGCATTGGCACTTGGCACATGTGAGATTATCTGGCTACGATCGATTCTTGACGAGTTGGGTTTTTCAGTGACCTCTCCATCCACATTATATTGTGATAATCAATCTGCTATTCAGCTCGCTTCTGACTCTGTACTACATGAGAGAACGAAGCATATAGAGATCGATGTTCACTTTCTTCGGGAGAAGGTCAGCAGTGGTCTTGTAACTCCATCGTTTGTGGGGACCAGTGATCAAGTTGCAGATGTTTTTACCAAACCTGTCACTCTGCCTATTCTTCGGGACTCCGTTGTCAAGCTTGGCTTAGTTGACATTTTTGCGCCTAGCTTGAGGGGGAGTGTTGGAGTATAGATAGTAGTCTAGGTTTATTAGGATTCCTTTTCTCTTTTTTACCCTTACTATGATTTTTATATTTTGCCTAAACTACAAGGATGTTTAAGTCACTCTGTATTATTTTTGGCTATATATACGGGACTCTACTTTGAGTTTGAGTATCCCTTTCACATATTCCAAATATAGAAAATTCTATTATTAGAATAATTTTCATAGAAAATTTTATTGTGACGAATCATTTTAGTAAATAAACTATAAATAAACATGGCAATCATCAAATTTTGAGTAATTCGAATCTAAGTTCGATTTGAAAACTCCATTTTGAATATGATGATTATCCATCAAATTTCATATTTACAATTCATATCTATTAAATATTAAAAATTTGATCGAAAACTAAATCTTATATATACACGTGTGTGCATGTGTTTTTGTGAATCGTTTTACGATTCACAATTTGGTCAAATTTTGGTAAATCAAAATCTAAATTTTTGAAATATAATAGTATATTCGAACTTGGATAATTAATTAAACATATCAATTCATATTTAAATAATCGAATTTAGAGCATGATGAGTTTGGTGACTTAGTGTGCCATTATAGAAACAGGAGAAATAGTTAGAGAGTAAAGAAAGAATTATGAGATTAAGTCTCATGACTTTTAAAAAATAATTTAGTGCGGGCAAATATTGAAATTTTTTAATTTTCTTATAATTTTAAACTAGCCCCAAAAGTTTTCAAAATCTCGGTGGGGGCAATTGGGTGTAATTGGGGTGATTTTTTAAAAATGTTTCTAGGATTTATTAAAAAAAAAAAGTAGTGTTTGAAACAACTTATTTTAATTGCTTCCAAATAAAGTGAAAGTATTTTTACCATTTAAATAAGTAAGTAAATAAAAGTTAAAAAAAATAACTTCTACTTCTTTAAAATCATTTCTCTATAAAACACTTCACTGCCACAGCCATAGTTGCCGCTACCCCAACACCACCACTCCCCCTACCACCATCACCACCACCACCTCTACCACAATCACCACCACCACCACCACCACCGTCACCATCCACCACTACCACCATCGTCGTTAACCACTACCAATTGCTACCACCCCCCCCACCGCCACAACCCACCAACATTGTCATCTCATTTTTATATTTATTATCACTACTACCATCATCCCACTATCACTGTCGCGCCATCGCCACCACCCATCACTACCATTGTTGTCTAGCACAACCCACTACCACAATCTACCACTATTAGTCGTCGCCCACCACCCTCGCCACTTATTGTCACTCACTCTACCACACCTACCACCACCACTGCCATTCGCCACCACCCACAAACACTCATTGTCGCCCACTACCACTCACATCTACCATCACCATTGTCACCACCCACCACCACAACCCACCACCGCCACCACCACTGTCGTGGCCTCCACCACTGTCATCATTGCCACCCAAGATTGCCACCACCACCATGGTCATCGTTGCTCACCACAACAATCAATGTCTCCCACTGCCACCATTGCCACCCACCACTTCTACCACCATTCACCCCAACTACAACTGGTGCTTAAATTTCTTCCTCTCTCTTTTAAATTTGTGATTTGATTTTAAGTGTGCATACAAATTAATATATTTATGATTTATAATTTTTTTATTACGTTGTACCTTTAGATACGGATAATAACTACTTAATTGATAAAATTTAATGTTAATTGAATAAATTTGGTCTTAATTTGATATTAATTTGATAAAATTAAATATTAATTTAGTGTTAATGCCACACCCCACCTCTCCAAGGCAGAGTGCAAACTGATCTTACCAACCATGTGCTATTAATCGATGGCATACAAATAAATTTTACATTTAAAATTTTTTTTATTAAATTTACAAAACTCTAACAACCTCACAACCCAACACATTGACAAAACCTTGTATTACAGTATTTCTTTTTATATAACTCACCCTACCACACCTTACAAAATTCTTACATAACCTTCATACATTAGATATAACATTCTTAAAATTACATTTAACCCTCCTTCCTCAGACATGACCATGTGGTGGGCCAAATCTTATTTTCTACACCTGAAAAGACAATATCTACGAGGGTGTGAGCTAAACTATGTGCTCAATGATGTATACAAGAATTATAAGCATAGAGAACCACTTACAAAACAGTCATAGGATCAAGCTTAACATTGAAGAAAACATTTCTTCACACTTTCATGATCTTAAAATTGAGTCATGTGGATATTATATTTATTTTTTTCTATAGGATACCAAATCCAATTTCATCTCTATAAGATTTTTTAACAACTTCAAATGATAAACTGTATTTTCAGCTACATAACTAGGTACTCTACCGTATACCAACGCGAAGTCCTCTGAATATAGTTTCTAATGCCACAAATGGTGCATCATTAAAAATTTTCAACAAAAAATTCATGCTCATTTTTTCTACAAGATGTCAAAACTGTCATGCATAACCCCAAATCCAAATTTTACAATATAATTTTCATTGATCCAAACAAAACCAATCAATTTTATACCACATTCAAATCATAATCTATTCGATTAACTTCCATGAATCCGAATCTAAATCATTTAGTAGCAAATCTATTAAAAACTATATAGCAATTTCTTTATCCAAAGAACTATCACCAGAAAATTCCTAAACTAACATCATTCAGAAGATTTAAACTGATAGACATAAAATACAAGCCTTCACAAACAACATAATAAAATTTTATAATAAATGGAGTTAATTTCACCATTAAATTCGAGTTGAAAACTAACATTTTTCTTGTCCTTTTTTTTTATTTTTTTTTGTTTGGGGAGGGAGAAGGAGAAGGAGAATTGGAGACTTGAACAAGGCAAAATTTTTACGAGATAAGAAATAACATTTTTCTTGTCCTTTTTCCTTTTTTTCTCCGTTTTTCTGTGGCCTGCCACCCTCAGGAACACTTATCCTGTCCTTTCTTTTTTTCTTTTTTCCTTTCTTTTCCCCACCAGCCTTAATCATTAACAAGAAATACATTTGCTTCCCCCTTATTCTAATGAATAAACCTAGCCCAAATCTTTATACAATATTCTTTTTTATTTCTGAAATTTTTTATAAAATATAAATCTTGGTCTTACAGTTAATTTAATAAAATTTATGTTAATTGAATAAATTTAAATGTTGTTTTGATAAAATTGAATATTAATTTGATACTAATTCAAAGAAATAACATTAATTTGATAAGGTTAAATGGTAAATTAATAGAAATTAATATTCTATTTAATATAATTAAATTTTAATTTTATGAAATTAAATATCAATTTAGTGTTGATTTGATGAAAATAAAATAGTAAGTTAGTGTTAAATTAAAGAAATAATATTAATTTGATGAAATGAAATATTAAATTAATGTAACTGAATATTAATTTGATAAAATTAAATATATGTTAATTTGATAAAATTATATGTTAATTTAGTTCAAATTAAATAAAGTACATTAATTTGATAAAATTAAATATTAAATTGATTAATATGAAGGTTAATATAATAAAATTAAAAGAAAGTGCAATAAAATTTTAGAATTTTAAGGGATGTCGGTGAAGTTAGGTCTGTTTACGAAAGATGTGGATAAAATTTACCCTATTAAATATTAAAGAGTATTTCTATAAAACAATACCCGCAGTTAACACTGTAAGCAGACACAACCAACAGAGGGTGTTAATAAAATTTTAAAATTAAAATAGGGTGTCATTGAATTTAAATTGTACTACCCTACATTTCAACATTCCTGACCACTTATCCACGTCCCAAAACTGTTTATTTCAAGTTCTCCACTCCCACAACCATACATCTCTCACTATCTCTCGTCCAAACGACTTCTTCGCCAGCGAAGCTACGACGACGCCAACTCTGACCAAAGCTTCAGTCGTCTTCTTCGCCAACTCTCTCTCTTTCAGGTATGCTTTACTCTCTCTCTCTCTCTCTCCCTCTCTCCCTCTGCCTTCTCTTTTTTGTGTGTGTTCTATGCGAAGGGGTGGTGGGGGGTTGTGCACATATATGGTTGGGTGTAGTGTGTATGTGTATGTGTGTTTTGTGCGGCTAAAAATGGGTTTGTGGGAGGGTGTGGGGGATCTGTGTGTGTTCAGTTGATGCAGAATTTTACAGTATGTTAAGTGTAGGTATATGTTACACTTGACCGTCCGTGGCACAAGGTCAATACAAGTATATGTATATATTAAAGGGATCTGAATCCTAGTCCTGAAAGGTTAACAAGTGTACCTATATATGGTAAATGATAAAAATATATTCAAAAATGTCACTTTGACTTAATATAAGCCTAATCACACAAAATAATTGATCGGGTATTAATTGACATAAATTTAAACACGACACGAGTCAGATGCCGCATCCTATTGCCAGCTCTAGAATACCATATGATCAGATGGGGTCAGGCTTCTTTATTTACCCAATACATAATGTCTAAAACTCTAGTCTAGTCTAGTGACCGTCCTCCCTTGTACTTAGTTGTAAGCAGTATCGAAGCATACGTTTGTTAAACTTAGTTTTATTAATGCTTTGAACAAGGGATTGTCCTGTTCCACTCCATGCAAGCCAAGGTTTAAAAGGAAAAATACAAGAGTAGTATTATATGAACTTAAAAAATAGATTTAAAAAATAAATTTGATAAAATCACAACCATTACTGAGATCTGTAATGAAATTAATTGTTGTAATTATCAAGTCTACTTTTTTAAGTACATATAATATTGCTCAAAATACAATAGCCAACACCTTTTGCTTGAAATTTTTTTTCCAAAAATGTACACTTCAATGTTGAGGTCGGGTGTAGGGTTATAAGTACTCATTTATTCAAATTATTTGCCCGGAATTCAATTTCAAGAATCAGACTCTCTAAAATATTTGGAATAACACTATCCATCGTTCCCTCTCTCAAACCCAATAGAGACAATAGCATGATGCACTACTAAATATAATGATGGAAAACACTAAGCTTCCACCTTTTAACTTTTCTGTATAATACAAAAATAAAATCCTTTAACAAGAAATAAGATAAACTCTACTAAAAAAAGTGATAATTGCCGGTAAGTTATTGTTTATTAATTATTTTTTAAGTAAAAAGCAATTTTGTCTAAAAAACAGAAATATAGTTAGTTTCCATTTAATGTATGTGCTTGTGTATATATGTAAATCTACAGGAAGAAAGCAAACTCAAACAAGAAATAAAAAAGCAAAACAAGCATCACCTAAAACGTACTCGACAAAAATAAAAAATTTTAAATTTTTTTTTTATCAAATTGACACCTTAATTTGTCACACGAAAGAATTTATTATAGTGTGCACCAGACTAAAGGTATAAAAAGATCTTGTCACTTCCCATCAATACGACGTGGCGACGGCCGTCCATCAAAAAATATGAGGTTGCCACACTCTGAATAACTTATCATAGTTCGATCTTAGAGCAATTCCAATTCTAATTGCTCGGGAAAATTGTCTTCCTTGTTTGTTTTATCAGACAGTGACTCACAGCCGAATGACAACTTCTAAGGTCCTAACATAAGTAATATCTAAATTTCCTAGGAAATGGCTCAAGCCAGGCAACCATTCTCCTTATAAGGATCAGAGAAACTTACCCGAAAAACAAAAAGATCGGGGATAATCAATTCAGAAATTAGCAGAAGGACCCAAGAGAGATGGAAAATCAAGGAACACGAAGATGTCGGGTGGTGCTAGTTCCACCTCCATTCCAGGGCCACATAACGCCCATGCTTCAGCTAGGCGCTATCCTTCACTCCAAGGGATTCTCCATCACAGTTGCTCACACCGAATTCAACGCCCCTGACTCATCTAAACATCCTGAATTCTTCTTCCTACCCCTATCGGACAATGTATCAGATATCGATTCCTCTTTCTGGAATCTATTAGAGGTCATCACAGCTATCAATGTCAACTGCAAAGAGCCACTTCAGAGATACTTGGTTCAAATGATGGAAAAACAGGAGCCACATGATCAGGTCTGCTGCATCATCTACGATTCAATCATGTACTTCACAGATGCCGTGGCTAATCACATGAAGCTTCCAAGTATTATCTTACGCACTACCTGTGCTTTCAATTTTGTCGCTTGGCATGCCACCCCTCGGCTTCTAGCAGAAGGTTATATTCCCTTGCCAGGTACATGCTCTGAAGAAATATTTCAAATGTTTTAAGGACTGAACAGGTTTTTGTTGAGAGAGAAATAGGAGTCAATTATCAAATAATTTATTGCATAACAAAGAATCCTATTTTACCATAATTATATTGAGAAACTACAATATGCTAAGAAAACAGGGGAGAAAATGCTGCAAACTTTCTTATGAATAAAGCATTACAGGATAATCCAATTGGAGCTATAGGAATCATTGCTGCTTTAAGAAGTAGTGAAGACAGAAGATTGATAAAGTCGCTGCCTTAATATCATAGAAATGATGAAATAAACTTTTGAAAAACAGCAATAATTGTATGTATGAAATGAATTAGAGCAAGCTTCTCACACCCAATGAAAATAAATTGAATAAAAGTCCTCTAAGAAAACATCAATCTATAGCAGGAACACCTAAATTAGTGACTAAACCATTCAAGAAAGAGTAGATTATCAATAGATGGTTCCTAAGAATCATGCTATTTGTTCCGTCCCTTATCCATCATTTAGTGCTTGTGCTGATCTTGATTCTGCCCTTCTATGCCAAAATAAAATGAGCTCTCAATCATCGTTCTTTAGCTATTCAAGTGTTGCTATAGTTACATCATTAAGGCCTCTCAGTTTTGCCATTTTATTGCTGCTAAGTTCATCCGATATAACATTGAGATTAATAGTTTTGATTATTGAATAAGTGAATCATATAATTTAGCAAGCGCCATTTCTTTGTGAAAACTATATTGCACTAACAAGCTATCACCTATCCTATGTTTACTTGCCAAATTATGCACCAATTATTGATTACTCATAGAACTTGTTAGAATTTTGTTGAAGAAAAAACATTGTTTCTAGCATATTTGATCTATGTCCCATATAATNATGATCAGGTCTGCTGCATCATCTACGATTCAATCATGTACTTCACAGATGCCGTGGCTAATCACATGAAGCTTCCAAGTATTATCTTACGCACTACCTGTGCTTTCAATTTTGTCGCTTGGCATGCCACCCCTCGGCTTCTAGCAGAAGGTTATATTCCCTTGCCAGGTACATGCTCTGAAGAAATATTTCAAATGTTTTAAGGACTGAACAGGTTTTTGTTGAGAGAGAAATAGGAGTCAATTATCAAATAATTTATTGCATAACAAAGAATCCTATTTTACCATAATTATATTGAGAAACTACAATATGCTAAGAAAACAGGGGAGAAAATGCTGCAAACTTTCTTATGAATAAAGCATTACAGGATAATCCAATTGGAGCTATAGGAATCATTGCTGCTTTAAGAAGTAGTGAAGACAGAAGATTGATAAAGTCGCTGCCTTAATATCATAGAAATGATGAAATAAACTTTTGAAAAACAGCAATAATTGTATGTATGAAATGAATTAGAGCAAGCTTCTCACACCCAATGAAAATAAATTGAATAAAAGTCCTCTAAGAAAACATCAATCTATAGCAGGAACACCTAAATTAGTGACTAAACCATTCAAGAAAGAGTAGATTATCAATAGATGGTTCCTAAGAATCATGCTATTTGTTCCGTCCCTTATCCATCATTTAGTGCTTGTGCTGATCTTGATTCTGCCCTTCTATGCCAAAATAAAATGAGCTCTCAATCATCGTTCTTTAGCTATTCAAGTGTTGCTATAGTTACATCATTAAGGCCTCTCAGTTTTGCCATTTTATTGCTGCTAAGTTCATCCGATATAACATTGAGATTAATAGTTTTGATTATTGAATAAGTGAATCATATAATTTAGCAAGCGCCATTTCTTTGTGAAAACTATATTGCACTAACAAGCTATCACCTATCCTATGTTTACTTGCCAAATTATGCACCAATTATTGATTACTCATAGAACTTGTTAGAATTTTGTTGAAGAAAAAACATTGTTTCTAGCATATTTGATCTATGTCCCATATAATGAATGATGTGATGTAATTTTTATGCGCCAATCTCTTTGAAGCAAACTATCAACCTCTCCTATTTGGAGTTGAGAAAGACAACAAACTGTAAAGTCAGAAAGTCTGTGCTTTCACTTCCCGTACATTTGGTATTATTGAGAACTTAAAGCACTTCCAAGCTTTTTATTCTATTATTTTAATTTCTGAACTTGGACAGACAAGTATGTTACTTGTACCTAAATCCAATCCAGCCTTGAGCAGCTTGAACTTTCATAACTCTAACCTGAGGTAACTTGGTGGTTCTGTGTATACGTAGGTACATTTGGGTTACACTCCTATAGATTAAGACCACCCACTTGTTTGCCCACCCTAAGTCTATCCAATTGTATTCTACATTTGTAATGGTCATATTTTCTGGCTGTTAGTATCACAGATATATATGCTTTCACCCATAAGACAGCTAAGGACATTTGCTTCTGACAATGCGATTAATTATTGATTTAAAAGTTCAATAATACTTGTGCTATGCATATGATCTACAAGGGCATTTAAATGAATAGACATGCAAAATGAACTACTTAGCAGTAATCATCTCTCTAAATGAACTACTTAGCAGTAATCATCCTCTGTAACCTCTTATCCCACGGAAAATACTGTTCGTTCTTAGTTCCAGAAATTGTATTTTTATTTTTACTCACTACAAAATGATAAACAAAATTATTGATGATGGAATTGCAGAATCTCTGTCAAATGAGCTACTGCCTGGGCTTCATCCCCTTAGGTCCAAGGATCTACCCTTTACTGGAACTGGAGAATTAGAGTTACTAGAAGAATTAAGAAAAATAAGATCTTCTGCAGCCGTTGTATGGAACACTGTGGACTTCCTAGAGCATTCATCACTATTGCAGCTGCAGCAACAATACCAAATTCCAATCTTCTCAATAGGCCCTCTGCATAAAATGGCACCAGCTTTAACCACTAGCTTACTAAAGGAGGACACCAGTTGTGTTGCATGGCTTGACAAGCAAGCTCCTAACTCAGTTATATATGTCAGCATGGGAAGCTTAGCAATGGTGGATAAGAAAGAGCTAACTGAGACCGCTTGGGGACTGGCCAACAGTGATCAACCATTCTTGTGGGTCATGCGGGCAGGCTTGGTTGATGGCTCAGATCAGTGTGTTGATCTCCTTCCCAAAGATTTAAAAGAAAAAATAGGAGAAAGAGGTCACATAGTAAAATGGGCACCTCAAAAAGAGGTGCTGGCGCACAGAGCAGTGGGAGGGTTTTGGAGCCACTGCGGTTGGAATTCCACCTTGGAAAGTATATGTGAAGGGGTTCCAATGATATGCAGACCAGGTTTCTCAGACCAAAAGGTGAATTCTAGGTTCCTCACTCACATATGGAGGGTAGGCCTTGAAATGGAGAATGTAGTGGAGAGAAGAGGAATTGAGAGAGCTATAAGAAGACTTATGGTGGAGAAAGAAGGAGAAGAAATGAGGCAGAGGGCAAATGAGCTGGGGCAAAAATTCAAATTTTGTGTGCAGAAAGGCGGTTCTTCATATAATTCCTTGAATGACTTAGAAGAATTCATCTTGTCACAATCATCCTCACTGCCAAAATGAGATCGAGATGGAAATTAAAAGTTGAAGCTAGAGGATAAAGTAATCTTATGAAGTCTATTCATTTAGCACTTTACATGTGTATAGACATGTCTACTTCTAATGCTACTATTAGGCAAAAGTAATCTATTTCCAATGTCAACAAAAGCAAGTTGGATCCAACCTTGCACTTTTTGTTTCTGAGCAGTATATATGCATCAATATGTGTTTGTGGGTGCCTGTGTACAAGAATTTGTTCCTTTACAAGGAATGGGGAATCTTTGATAAGTCTGAGATGGGCATGCATAGGTTCTGGTGCTTCTGTAGAAGAGAATTGATAATTATAAAGTAGTAGTGTTTAGACATATGTAGGAAAGTTTATGTAAGGGGTAGAACCCTCTACTAAGGATTTCGGTTTGACCTGGATTAACCCACGCAGGCGACCCCCCAGTAGCCTTTACTTCTCAGTGCCCGCAGGAGCTTCGTCCCACATCGACTGAGAGTCGTCTCCCCCCTCGCATATAAGCCCTTACACTCAAAGGAGGAGGTACCCACTAGCCTAGTGGGTACCTCCTCCTTTGAGTGCAAGGGCTACGAAGCTCCTGCGGGCACTGAGAGGTAAAGGCTACTCAAAGGAGGAGGTACCCACTAGGCTAGTGGGTACCTCCTCCTTTGAGTGCAAGGGCTTATATGCGAGGGGGGAGACGACTCTCAGTCGATGTGGGACGAAGCTCCTGCGGGCACTGAGAAGTAAAGGCTACTGGGGGGTCGCC